CGCTCAACCACTGAGCCACACCAGCCAGACACTAGTCAATTCTTTATTCTGAGTTGTGATCTCTAATTTTAAGCTAAAACTTTGAATTGCTTCTGTATCTTAGGACCCTTCAGAACTTGAGTCCTCAGTATACAGACCTTTAAGTAAATTTGCCCACATGATCATTTACTGTGCAGCGCGTCTGCTTATCTTCCTACTCCGGAAGGTCCTGGACTCGGACAAGTGGAACTAAAGACAGACCTGGTGTATATCCTGACCCGTGGAGCCGAGGCTCACACCCCACCAACAGCCTAACTGAAGGTGCGGGAACGGAAAACCTTGTTCTCGGTCCAAAGAACTTGGATGTGTTTGCCAAGAGTCGCTTTAATCTCTCCGATCCTCCATTTCTCATCAGAGATAATGATATTCTGCAGGTGATTGCTGTGGAAAGACCATGAAAAGTGAGAGCACTTTGTTAGGTACAATTCACTTCATGAAATTAAGGGCTGGTTACTGCCAGTCCATTTTATGTCCCCTATGATGGTGGTTGAGCTCCCTAAAGGGCAAGAACCATGTCTTATTGCCCAGCAGGTGTGGCTCAGTGGTGAACGTCGACCTATGAACCAGAAGGTCACGGTTCAATTTCTGGACAGGCATGTACCCAGGTTGCAGGTTGGATCCCCAGTGTGGGACTTGCAAGAGGTGTCCAATCAGTGATTCTCTCTCATCATTGATGTTTCTATCTCCCTCTCCCTTCCTCTCTGAAACCAATAAAAAAAATATTTTTTAAAAATAAAAGTGTGTCCAGCTGAAACCGGTTTGGCTCAATGGATAGAGCGTCAGCTTGGGGATTGAAGGGACCCGGGTTCAATTCCGGTCAAGGGTATGTACCTTGGTTGCAGGCATATCCCCAGTGGGGGTGTGCAAGAGGCGGCTGACCGCTGACTCTCTCTCATCGATGTTTCTAGCTTTCTATCTCTCTCCCTTCTTCTCTGTACAAAATCAATAAAATATATTAAAAAAATAAAATAAAAAATAAAATAATAATAATAATTAAAAAAAGTGTGTCCAAAGCCGGTTTGGCTCAGTGGTAGAGTGTCAGTCTGCAGACTGAAAGGTCCCGGTTCAGTTCCAGTCAAGAGCATGTACATTGGTTTCGGGCACATCCCCGGTAGGGGGTGTGCAAGAGGTAGCCGGTCAATGTTTCTCTCTCATCGACATTTCTAGCTCTCTATCCCTCTCCCTTCCTTTCTGTAAAAAATCAATAAAATATATTTTAAAAATAATAAATAAGTAAGTAAAAGTGTGTCAGGGGAGTGTAAAAACAAACTTCACAAATACCATGTGGCCGTTTTTTTTACATACATACTCTCAAAATGACTGTCACTTCTGTAAATAGCTCCTGTGATACACAAACAACACCTCAGTTTTCCACGTGGACTGAGGTTTTGATGGACTTGGCGATTGTGGGTGGCCATGGAATAGATCACCAGCGGCCACTTGCAGGGTTTTTTGTTGATGTCAGAAAGTTTCATTGGAACCTGTCCCTCACTGCTGATCTCCGCTCAGCTGGCCAAGCCCATCGCTCACATGCAGGTGTTTGCTGTGTCCCATGCCCACCGCTGTGGAAAAGGGAAGAAAGGCCAGGTTCTGGGGAGATCCCACCCTATTGGGATTTCCCAGCTTCTTTAAGAAACATATTTTAACCCTGGCCTATAGCTTGGTTGTTTAAAGCATCCTCCTAATACACCAAGGTTTGGGGTTTGATCCCTGATTAGGGAACATATAAGAATCAAGCCGAAACCGGTTTGGCTCAGTGGATAGAGCGTCAGCCTGCGGACTGAAAGGGCCCAGGTTTGATTCCGGTCAAGGGCATGTACCTTGGTTGCGGGCACATCCCCAGTAGGGGATGTGCAAGAGGCAGCTGATTGATGATTCTCTCTCATCGATGTTTCTAACTCTCTAATTCCTCTCTCTTCCTCTCTGTAAAAAATCAATAAAATATATTTAAAAAAAAAAAAGAATCAAGCAACGGGTGCATAGATAAGTGGAACAACAGGTGAATGTGTCTCTCTCACTTCTCTCCCCCTCCTCAAAAAGCAAAAAAGAAAGAAAAAAACACATCTTTTAAATGTGTATTATAAGCCCCACACTCTAACAGAAGAACATGTCCTAACTGGTTTGACTCAATGGATAGAGCGTCAGTCTGCGGACTGAAGGGTCCCAGGTTTGATTCCTGTCAAGGGCATGTACCTTGGTTGTGGGCACATCCCAGGTGAGGGGTGTCCAGGAGGCAGCTGATCGATAATTCTCCCTCATTGATGTTTCTAACTATCCCTCTCCCTTCCTCTTTGTAAAAAAAAAAAAAAAAAACAAACAAACAACAACAACAACAACAATAAAATATATTGAAAAATAACAGGGACACAAAAATGAATATAAGAAACTGGCTATGGTGCACAGTCTAAATCTGGTGACAGATACAAACTCAATATTTCTCTTCTTCTACAGTTGAAAAATCAGTTTCATACATACTAGTTCATTTGTCTCAAAAGATCTGTTTTTTCTTATGCCAGTACCAGGCTGTTTTAATGGCCTTGTCGTATAGTTTGATATCAAGAATTATGATCCCTCCAACTTTGTTATTTTTTCTCAAGATTGCTGAGGCTGGCCGGCCCCGACCCCAGGCTGCACCAGCCTCCGCTCCCTAACCGGGTGGGCGATGTCCCTGGCACAGACAGCTTGCTCCAGGGACTCCCAGCCTTGCCCCTGGGGGACAAGGGGGGCCTGCCTACCGGCCTCGCCTCCTGGCAACCACTCCAGCTTGGCCTGGGCTCCCAGAACCCACTCCTGAGCACACATTGAAAGCGCCTGCTCCTCTTCCAGCGAGGAAGGCAGGGAAAGCAGAGATGAGTGAGTTATGTGCGGAGTGAGGAGGCCGTGCCTGCCGCGGGGGAAACGGGTAGGTCAGCTTTAGAGGCTGGGGGTCCTGGTGAAGGTGGCGAGCAGAGCAGTGGAAGGAGAAAGTCAGTGGAAGGAGAAAGCATGCGTCATGGCATCACACAGGGAGCGCATTCCAGGCAGTGGGATGAGCCGCTGCAGAGGCCCCGAGCTGGGGACATCCCTGGCATGTTTGAAAACGGAGGTGGCCGCCCGGCTGGTGTGGCTCAGTGGGTTGAACATCGACTTAAACACCAAGTGGTCACCTGTTCAATTCCCAGTCATGTCAGGGCACATGCCTGCATTGCTGCTCCGTGTGTGTGTGTGTGTGTGTGTGTGTGTGTGTGAGTGGGGGGGCAGCCTGGGATGTTTCTGTCTCGCCCTCTCTCTAAGATCAATGGAAACATATTTAATAAAATAAGTAAATAAAAGAAAATGGAGGTGGCTATTGTGACCAGACTGCAGTGCAGGAGGAGCAATAGGCTCTTTGACTTTTACCAGAAAGAAGGGAGGATGCCATGTCACATGGTTATCATCAAAGAATCAATGAATCAAACAAGTGTGGTCAGGGAGAGGCAACGCTCATTCATTGTTGCTGGAATTACAAATTGGTGCCATCTCTGCCATAACCAGTTTGGCTCAGTGGATAGAGCATCAGCCTGCGGACTGAAAGGTCTCAGGTTCGATTCTGGTCAAGGGCATGTACCTTCGTTGTGGGTACATCCCCAGTGGGAGATGTGCAGGAGGCAGCTGATTGATGTTTTGAACTCTCTATTCCTCTCCCTTCCTCCCTGAAAAACTCAATAAAATGTATTTTAAAATAAATAAAATATATAAAAATTGGTGCCACCACCATAAAAAAAAAAAAAAAAGATTGCTGAGGAAAAAGAAAAGAAAAGAAAAGATTGCTGAGGCTATTCAGGTTGGTTTATTTTTAGTTCCATATAAATTTTTGGAATACTTGTTCTACATCTGTGAAATATTCCATTGGTATTTTAATAGGAATTGCATTGAATTTATAGATTGCTTTGTGTGGTATGGACATTTTAATGATGTTAGCTTTTCCAATCATAAACATGGTGTATGCTTCCACTTATTTGTAACTTCCTCTATTTTTTCTTCAATGTCCTAAAACTTTCCAAGTACAGGTCTTTTACCTCCTTGGTTAAACTTTATTTTGTATGTTTTAATAGTAAGTGAGGTTGTTTTCTTAATTTCTCTTTCTGATAGTTTATTATCAGTGTATAAAAATACCACCTATATATTTTTTCTCATCCAAGGACATGTTTTCACTGATTTTTAGAAAGAGAGGATGGGGGAGAGAGAAGAAGAAACATGGGGATAAGTGAGCCTACTTGTACCAGCCTGATGGGTATGGTTGGTTGCCTCCAACCCAGGCATGTGCCCCCACTGGAAATCAAACGGGCAACCTTTCGGTGTACAGGATTCTCCAACTGAGCTCCTGGGGCAGGGCGCCACCGGCTTCTGCATATTTATTTTGAGTAGACATTCCTCATCTTGATTCCTCAATGCCTGGACTTTAAAAAAAATTTTTTTAATTAATTTCAGAGAGGAAGAGAGAGAGACAAACATCATCATATCAACTGTGAGATGATCATCCATTGGCGGCCTCCCGCCACTGACTGGGAATGGAACCGCAGCTGGGGAATGTGCCCCGACAGGGTACGAACCCGCGACCCCCTGGCTCAGAGGTCGACACCCACCACCGAGCCTCGCCAGCCGGGCAAGGGCCAGCTCTAAGGAGCTTTTCAGCCAGTCCAGTCTCAGGCCGCAAACCATCAAGTGCGGGCTTTCAAGTGGTGGGCGGGGTGTCCTCCCCCGCGCCCCGCCCCTCCCGCGCCCCGCCCCTCCCGCGGCCCCTCCTCCCGCGGCCCCGCCCCTCCCGCGGCCCCGCCCCTCCCGCGGCCCCGCCCCCTCCCGCGGCCCCTCCTCTCGCCAGCAGCCGGAAGCTTTCACTCGGCCGCGGCAGGCCGGGCCTTCAGCTCCAGGAAGCTGTGAGTCATGTGATTCTGGGCGCCTCTCACGTGATCTACGACTGGAAGCCGGGGTCTTGGGCCAAGATGGCGGCCTACTTGCAGTGGCGGCGCTTCGTTTTCTTCGACAAGGAGGTGGTGAAGGAACCGCTGGGCAGTGATGGGCCCGCTCCCGGGCCCGCGCTTACCTCTGGGCCGGCTGCTTCCAAGTTCCTCTGCCTCCCTCCTGGCATCACTGTCTGCGACTCGGGCCGAGGGAGCCTTGTCTTTGGAGATATCCTTCACCTGGCGCTGTCGTCCCTCCCCGGGCCCCTGAGGAGACCCCGCTGGGACAGAATCGGCCCCTCGGAGTGTTCGTGCCACGTGCTCCTTCCTGTAGCTGGGCGCCCGGTGCCGCCGGTGGCCTGAGGGCAGGAAGGCCATTCTCTAACTTGCCAACTGAGTCGTCCTGGGCAATCGTTTAATCTCCCCAGGCTTCAACTGCCTTATCTGTAAAAGGGTATGAAATGCCAATGTTCAGTAGGGTAATTTTAAGGCCAAAAGAGAGGGTGCAAGTTGGTTTTAAAAGAAGAATATGTAAGGGGTCCCTATCTTCCTGCCCGGTATTGGGGTGACAAGGTAAATGAGGCCAGGAGTTTGCTGCTTTGTTCTTCACATTGCTGGCTCTACACTCTGGTCCCTTTTTACTCTTTTAAAGATAAGGGAGCCCAGGAGATAAGATGGACAAGTCCATGGAAATTTAAAGAGCTGCATGTATGTTAGTTACCTGGCCTAAATGTCAGTCTCTCTCCTTGGAAAGGAGGCTCCTTGACTGCTCTGCACATATGGAAGGTCAGGTCTGGTTCTTGTCCCGCTCCCTTCAGCTGACCGGCTTCCAAGCCTACAAGCTGCGGGTGACACACCTGTACCAACTGAAGCAACACAACATTCTGGCATCTGTTGGTGAGGATGAGCAGGGCATCAACCCCCTGGTGAGTCCTGGGCAAGTAATGGGAAAGACCCGGACATCTGGGAATGTTTGTTTGTGGGAGGCTGATCAGCATTCATCCATCTGAGGTCTGCCAACAGGTCAAAATCTGGAACCTCGAGAAGAGAGATGGTGGCAATCCACTCTGTACTCGAATCTTCCCTGCCATCCCAGGAACAGAGCCCACTGTTGTGTCCTGTTTGACTGTCCATGAAAATCTCAATTTTATGGCCATCGGTAAGCAGAAAGAGGGCAAAGCTAAAGCTCCAGGATTCTCTGTAGATGTTTTTCAGAATTGCTTCTGCAGCTCATATTGTTTTCATTGGGCCACCTTGTTCTGAGATATTAGAGTTTGGAATAGGAAAGGATTTAGTTTTGTTCTTTGAAAATGAGTCAGTGAGCTGAAACCGGTTTGGCTCAGTGGATAGAGCGTTGTTCTATGAACTGAAAGGTCCCAGGTTCGATTCCGGTCAGGGGCATGTACATTAGTTTCGGGCACATCCCTGATAGGAGGTGTGCAGGAGGCAGCTGGTCGATGTTTCTCTCTCATCAATGTTTCTAGTTCTCTATCCTTCTCCCTTCCTCTCTGTAAAAAAATCAATAAAATATATATTAAAAAAAGGAAAAAAAGAAAATGAGTCAGTGAGTACCTATCATCTCCATGTTAGCCATTGGAGGAGTTGGGGATGGAGAGAAATCGCATCACTTCTAATGAGTGCTTCAAATGGTCATTTCCCTCTGTGCTTCCTGACCTTTCCCCTCAGTGAGGTGTTTCCTGCTCTTGTACAGGCTTCACGGATGGCAGTGTTACCTTGAACAAAGGAGACATCACTCGGGACCGGCATAGCAAGACCCAGATTTTGCACAAGGGCAGCTATCCTGTGACTGGGCTGGCCTTTCGCCAAGCGGGAAAGACCACTCACTTGTTTGTTGTGACAACAGAGAACGTTCAGGTATGACCAGGACCTCCACTGTTGGGAGCAGCTGCGAAAGGCTTCTTTCTCCGTTGCTTAGGGGATTAGCTTAGGCCCTGACAGGAGAGGCGGGATTCTTACACTCGTCATATAGCCTGGAGTCATTTGCTGAGCTTCTTTCTTCGTTTGAGAGAGTAGGAAATGTAGAGTCAGGAAAAGAACTCTGGGCTTGTAAGAAAAGACCTGAATTTTTCTTCTAACTAACTTGTGAAGTAACATTAGACAAGTTGCTTTACTTCCCTGGATCCTTTGCTCCTAATTTATAATAGCCTACTCTCAGGAATAGTCTTGATAAAATAGTAAGATTATTGTATTTCTCTTATTTGCAGAATTCCTGTAGTTGGTAGTGACAGTATATACAGGAGAAGGAAGTGTGGTCCCTGCTTATGTATTTGGTAGATGGGAGGAGGCAAGCGACAGGGAAAGTCTTAGGGGCTGAGAATTAAAGAGAGAGTGAGTACGGAGATGGGAATACCTTTGGGAAGGCTTAGATGCCGCCGTCGCAAAGGGTGCCTCCTAACCCCTTTCTTTCTTCTCCAAGTCCTATATAGTTTCTGGAAAGGACTACCCTCGTGTGGAGTTGGATACCCACGGCTGTGGCCTGCGCTGCTCAGCCCTAAGCGACCCTTCTCAGGACCTGCAGTTCATTGTGGCCGGGGATGAGTGTGTCTACTTGTACCAGCCTGACGAACGTGGGCCTTGCTTCGCCTTTGAGGGCCATAAACTCATTGCTCACTGGTTTCGAGGCTACCTTGTCATTGTCTCCCGTGACCGGAAGGTTTCTCCCAAGTAAGAGCTCCAGGGAGAGGGAGAGGGTTGTGCTCAATCCCCAGAATTGACCTGATTCTAAAACCCTACACCTGGGTCCTGGCGTCTCCTGGTCTCCTCCTCTGGTTTTATGTAGATCGTGCTTATACCTAGAACCAGTTACTATGTTTATATGGAAAAATGTGTTGTGCTGCAGATATTTGTTGAGCAGTCCTGATGCCCTAGAATGTTCCAGAGAATTTTGGACCTGGTATTATTTTTGTACTCTTTAGTAGAAGTAAATTGGGGCAGAGGAAGGAGGGCTTAAATAGTAAAATCACTAGGAAGTGCAGGACCCAGAATTTTTTGTCTGAGCCGCCTGGACGGGCGATGGGTCCTCCACGTGTCTTAAATAACCCAGGTGTTAGCCTGTTCATTCAGCACTAAGCACAGTGCTTTACATCTGCCAGATGCTACTTATTTGTTAAACGAATGGGTGTTTAAATAAACTTAATTCTTAACCTGTTATCTGTGTTAGTTATAGGGCTTACAGGGTAAGATCAGATCTGTATGTTCTCTCCTAAGACTGCCAGCACAATGCTGCGTGTCATGGGATGAGCTTCTATCGATAGAAGGGCCAAGAGGCGATTTGTTCTGAGTGGAACGGGCAGCTCCAAAGTTGTCACTGGAGCCTGGCTGGATAGCTCAGTTGGTTAGAGCATCATCCTCATACACCAAGGTTGCAGGTTTGATCCCAGTCAGCACATGCAAGAATCAACCAGTGAATGCATAAATAAGTGAAACAACAAATTGATGTTTCTGTCTGTTTCTCCCCGTTTCTCCCTAAAACCAATTTAAAAAAATCAAAGTTGCCACTGGAAAGGAAATAAAGGGGAAGCTGAGGCAGAGAAGGTACAGATGTCTGGTGCTTTTTCTTTCCCACACAGGTCAGAGTTTACCAACAGGGACTCGCAGAGCTCCGACAAGCAGATTCTCAACATCTATGACCTGTGCAACAAGTTTATCGCCTACAGCGCCGTCTTTGAGGACATAGTGGATGTGCTTGCTGAGTGGGGCTCCCTGTACGTGCTGACGCGGGATGGGCGGGTCCACGCACTGCAGGAGAAGGACACACAGACCAAACTGGAGGCAAGGCCACCAGGGTCCCAGCGCTGGTCATAGGCACCCCGATACTGCTGTAGGCACAGGCTCCCAAGACACCTTAGCCAGAGCGTACCCTTCTCTTGGGGTCATAGCCTTACTCAGCTCCATGGGTAAATGGTCTGGGATGAGGCTTTAGAGCAGGCATGTCAAACTTGGCCACATGCGGCCCATAACAAATATTTTTGCTGCCCAGCCAATATAACGGTATATAAGAATCATTTTAATAAACATTTCTTACTTAATTTTTACAATATCCTGTAATACATGATTATTAATAACAAACTAGAACTGACTGATGACTGTAATCGTGTTGTATTCATTTCCCTTATGCACAGGCGCACCATTTCTCTCTACTAATACTGGCAGCAAATATTTTAACAGCTGATTGCCACACCATTAGTCTTGGACTGACTTGTTTGGTGTGCGCAGGAAACATTTTGCTTTAGTAAATTTTTTAAAGTATATTTTTATTGATTTTTTACAGAGAATTAGAAACATCGATGAGAGAGATTCATCGATCAGCTGCCTCTTGCACACTCCCCACTGGGGATGTGCCCGCAACCAAGGTACATGCCCTTGACCGAAATCAAACCCGGGACCTTTCAGTCTGCAGGCTGATGCTCTATCCACTGAGCCAAACCGGTTTCGGCTTGCTCTAAGAGAACAAGAAAAATAGGTTTATTTGCTTTACGCTTATTAATTTGTGCAGTTATTCAGTGTCTGGTAAATTAATATTCAAGAAAAAAAATCTTAATTTTTGTTAAAATATTTTATTTTATGTTAACAATGACTCATTTATTTCAGTCCTTTGTATCCAGCATGTCTCTATCAAAGTAAGCCTAGGTTTCTTTGAAAATTGAAGCTTTAGTTGTTTTTGCAGCCACATACACTTACACCTTGTTTATTGGCCCGTGCAGCCTTTGAGTCTGACATGCTTGCTCTAGAGGAAAGTACTGGCTAGGAGCCTGAGCCTACTTCCAGGGTCCCCTCTTCGCAGAGAGGTAGGAGGTAACCTGATGTTGGTCTGGGGGTATTGGAGGTCTCACCCTGCAGGGTTCTAGGCTGATGAGAACCTCAGGACTGTCTGACATGTGTGCTGTGGGTCCATTCTGGGAAGGTGTCGCCTCAGAACTGCGTCTACAATTTTCCAATCTCTCCTTCCAGATGCTGTTTAAGAAGAACCTGTTTGAGATGGCCATTAACCTGGCCAAGAGCCAGCACCTGGACAGTGACGGGTTGGCCCAGATCTTCATGCAGTACGGCGACCATCTCTACAGCAAGGGCAACCATGACGGGGCGGTGCAGCAGTACATCCGGTCAGCCGGGGTGCTCAGGGTGTAGCTCTGAATCAGACAGGCAGCCAGGTGGGCTCACACCTGTGCCCGGGGAAGGGCTGACTCCACCAGGAACCTTCCTTTTGTTTTACAGAAACTGGATGCCCTGCGGGCGGAGACAGTATGTGGAAAGGAATGTTTAGGGTGAAATATTACCTGACCAGAATGCAATTGAGCTGATAAACACCTATTTTATTTTATTTTTTAAAAAATATATTTTAT